GAAAAAGTGAAAGAGGGCGGAATCGCGGTACTGAAGCGCGGAGACGCTGCGGAATAAACGATCGAGATAACGGACTTTATGGTTCTACGGGATTACGGATCCCACGACCGTTGCATAAATTCCGCCGCGCGTATAATGTAAAGCTAATACGCCGGTTCTTCGAATCCTCGCGGAATATGAACGGTGAGAGAGAGAGAGAGAGAGAAAGAAAGAGTAAAAAGGGAGCACATACAGGTAAGGGTTGGCGAGCGCGGTCGGAGACACACACAGAACGACGGGGAATAAAGGGATAAAAGAGTGGAAAGAGAGAGACTGCGAGCGCGCGGGAAGACCTCGCGCGGGGAAGAAACGCCTGGGAATAGTAAATTTCCGTTGCACCGTGGCACCGTTATTAGCATACAAGTATTTAGAATGAATTATGAGCCGAGTCGTTTATTCCCGCGGGTGGATATATTCGGGACGGAGACACACCGGGCTCTTCTTCCTTACGTCAGGTGTATCTCTCAGGAGGCACAACATTATGTCGTCTCGCATATTTTATCTTCACTCTCTCGATCTCCGTCGCGAAAACAGAAGCACCAGAGAGACCAGAAGGAAGAGAATATTAGAGTAGGAGCGAACGCACGCGCGTGGGCACTAAAGAACCGTGACATTATGAGCGCGAAAGGTGCAACGCACGAAGTCGTTCGCCGAGAAGTCGCGCGCGATTTTCTTCTCTCTTCCTTCGCTCGCATTCGTTTAAAACCGCTCGAATTTACGATTGGAAGGTTCGACTCTCAAGCGAATTCACGCAGATAAGAGCGATCATCAGCTCATTCAAGGCGCGACAGCTCTACGCTGGCGCGGCGACAGTTAAACTCGACTCCCCTCACGCGAAATAAATGGTCTGGGTCGCGAAATAGCCGCTAATCGTTGCGGCATTCGCGTTCTGACAATCCCCTCGAGTCTACAAGACCGGACGATTAAATCACTTCCGCACTCGCGTTGTCGTCCCCCGCGGGGGACTCGGCTGCTTTCTGCTTTATTAAGCGTAACCAACGTCACACAGAGCCCAATGTCATCTACGGAATACGAAAGAATACGATATGTCACGCACCGAGAGATCACCTAGTGCGTGTCCAACTAGTTCTAGTCATTGTTCGGTTTCACAAAAAAAAAAAAACGTGACGGTAGTTTGTGTCGGTTTAACGGAAAATTCCACAAGTACGGAAAATGTCAAAATAAAATTTATTTTATCATCGTGTCGTTTTTTTTTTTTTTTAATTCTTATTACTCACCGTATGCAAACTATAAGAAAGCACAAAAGCAGAAATAGCTTGTTTCTTTTCTTAAAATCTTGACCCTTGTCACTTCACATTTTTTTTTTTTCGCGAAGACAACGTCTATTTTGACATCCGTTTCTTTGTGAAACCAACACATGAGGTTGAGCGGCAATTAGGAAGCCATTATCTCGCGGCCTTGCGCGTTCAACCATTGTGCAACAACCACACGCACAGAGGGTGGAAGAAGAGTGGCGAGTTCTCCCACAAAGTTTCTGCACCTTCTGTCCCAGGGGGTAGGAGATGGATGTCCGGCAATCAGGTGCGGAGAGAGAGAAAGACCCCCGACTGTCTTTTGAATCTGTTCGCTAGCAGCTGGCTGATACGCTCTCGTTGACGCGGAGTCATCATCGTGCCTACGGCCCTCCCGCTGTTTCGTTTTCGTGTTTGGACATCGAAGGGGGGGGAAGACCAGCTTGAAAAAGGGAAACACGTCCGAAATACATCGAGAATCCACTTTAAAATGGAAAGCCAAGGATTTTTTCGAAATTGACCGTGAGCAACGTGCGTCACGGTCCAGTGAAAACGGCGCGTGCGGGGAACAAAAGTCGTATTTCAACGTCTAACAGTTCAAAATTTCTACTTCGAACAAGAATTTGACTGACTTGCTCGATTGTTGTTTTATTCCGTTCCAAGTTGTCGACGATAAGTTATCTAAGATAATATCGTTCATTATCAATTGCTCGCAAACAGAAGAGAGAGAGAGAGAGAGAGATATCGCACAAATTAATAACCATCTTTATAACCAACTTTGATCATGCAAGAGAAATCTTTTCGCCGATTTCACGAAATCACGTCATTTACACGGTAGCGATCAAGCAGCTCGTCTGTAGATTTTTCTCGTTGATTGGCGTATATAAAATTTTACACGCGGTTATCACTCGCGAAATAACAAAACGGCACAAATGCCATGACGCTGTAGGAAGTTTCAATTAAATAGATAGTCGCGATGATGGCGGAGATTTACGATGATGTCGGCATATCATCACGATCCTGCGGCACGACACTCGCAGCAGCAACAGCAGCAGCAGCAGCAGCCGTGCGATTCTGAAAATGATAGCGCTGGAAATTCATAGCGGCCGGCTATGCATACGCGCGGTTCACTCAGCCGGCGCTAAATTCGGTCGTAATGATTCGACGATCGTGCACGTTCATTTCCGAGGAGTTAATATTCAAAATGAACATTAACAGGACGCACAGCCACCGTTAATCTCCAATGGCATGTGGAACCGCTCACGGTGCACTGGAGGTCGCTTTACCGCGCTCGCGTTAATTATGCAAATGAATAATTAGCATTCCGATAATTTCGGCAACGTCATTGTCTGCGTCACGGAAAATTTATCGTACCGATATTAATTTATCGTTCTTCTCCCACGGTGGTGAAATTTATTATCTTTTGATAATGTCAGACCGAAATGACACACGTGTCTGTCTCCGTCTCTCTCTCTCTCTCTCTCTCTCTCTTCGAGTTATAGATCGTCAAATTGTCGCTGCGCGTATTACTAATAACTAGGCAATAATTTACGACAGGCGTGTATTATCTTCGTGACCGGTTCGTCAGCAGTCAATCTCGTTGCGAGAGTCGTCAAGAGAGAGCCGTCGTAAAATTCACAGGTTCCTTCTTGTCTCGTAATGAAGATATTACGAACCGAAGACGCGCGAGAGATTCGCGATAGAACCGTCAAGCACATCAGCTGTCAGAGACGGTGCGTTCACGTCGATTAATCGCGGAAAGGAGGAAATTGAAGAATTTTCGGGTTCACGACTGCGAGAATTTTGTAACTCCCGACGGAGAACGTGGATCTCTACAAATACAGTAATCGGTTGAATTTATCGTCGAAAGATTCCCGTACGAATCGAAGAGTGATCAATGCGGACTGATTCGACGCGACTGCAGAAATAAACTGTTAGCTTCTATGAATATATTCATATCCCTTCATCAATATTCAGAACCTACTTTCCTCTCTCTTTCTCTGCACTTAAATCCACTAAAATCTGACGACGCGCTGAACACGCTTCGGTATTCGACAGAATGAGGCACGATCTTCGATTTCTCATAACGAATCGGGAAAATATACCTTCCCGATTCGTGTTCTCATTCCCGTTTTGATATATAGACGTAATACTTGAAATGATTCGCTATATATATTTGTTCTCCGAAATACACAATTTTAATAGCGTGTGTTTTCTCACCGAAGTTTAACCCCGGCCTACTCGGAACTCATCCAAATGCATTAACGATCCAATATAGAACTAATTGTCAGCAAACACTCGTACAAGTAATTTACACGAACTTGGCACCGGTTCCGCAGAAATCGAAATCGGATAGAAATGGAGTATCGGAGACTTCCTTGGATCATTTCCAATTCCCGTTCGACTTCCTCCCGTTCTCTCTCATCCGTCATTGCCTGTTGCGTTATTTTGCTACCTCGAAAACTACGTGGGGTTCCGGTATACGTGAGTCGTGTTTCGAGGGCCGCGAGGATTAAAGAACTCTTAGATAACCAGTCCACGTCCCGAACCGGAGAATTTTAAGGCGGCGCTAGCAAATAGATCGGCGCGCTAATGGATGGGAGTTCCGATTCGATATTACCTTTCCTTATTCCCCGAAACTCTCTCCCTCCGGCAGGAAATTAGCAAGTCTTAGGAGATCTCCTGTTAATCGTCGGGGTGATTTCTGCGGCGTCGCTTTCGGACAATTTGCCGCGACGAAATTTCATTTGTCCCCCTTCTGTCTGCATGCCAACAGTCGTCGGGCGAAGAACCCTTCGAGTATTCTCTCTCTTTCTGTCTCTCTCTCTCTCTCTCTTCTCGCTAATCCACCTTATTCACTCTTTATCTTCTTCCATTTCGACTCTTCGCCGCGCTCGCTTTTCGTCGGAAATGGAGCTTACAGAATTAATCGATGTTATCCCGACTCTCTCCCGCCGACCGAAATCCGAACGTTTCACGGCTTCATCACGATCATTTCACACGGTGAGGGACGTGACAATGAATGACACCAAATAAGAAAAAGGAAATCAGATCCCGCCCGATACAGGAGTATCCCTCGGAATTGGGATTAGAAAAGAATAGAGAGAAAGAGTGAGAGAGACTCGAGCACAAAAGTTACATCGAAGCCAGGGTAGAGATGTAGATCTCTTTTTGAAAATTTCTCTACACTTCCACCCTTTGAGATAAATTAAGAGTACAAAAAGACACAACTATTTCTTCTTTAAAAAGATTTTTCATACGCGTTTAAAAGAAATTTTACGATTTATCGTGTGTGACTGTGATAACAGTTATTAATGACAAATTAATATGTAACTCGTAGTTTATTATTTACGTAAATAGATGTTCATTGCTATCTCTATAGTATGGAAATGTGGAAAATTTTGGAGGATTACACACTAAATGAATTCCAGACGGCCATTCCACAAATGGCCATCCCACTGCTATCCCGTCGGCGACTTATATTCTAATTTCCTTGGTAATTACAGATTTTCGCGGCGAAATTACACACTGGTTTCGAATCATATCGCGACAGCGCCCGCGCGCGGTGCGACTCCCTTCGACAATTTTCGCGTTGCAGCTGCGCGTCTCTGTGTTCTGTTCCGAGCTCTCGTTTGTCACTCGACGCGCGCGCGCGTAATTAAAAGGACACGCATTATGATAAAGAAAAAAAAAAAACAAAACGCTCACCTTGTTAATGTATCGCGTATCCTGCTCTAGCAGCGACGGTACGCGCACACACCAAAGAGCACCAAAAAAATCATCGATCACTATTGAGTTTCTCTAGATCCTCTTATCGTGTTCCTCTCGCACTTGATATAAATTTACAAAAAATCTCACTCGTGCACTATCGCTACAAAATGCTATTTACAAGCTCACACAATCTACGTTCTTGTTTTTTTTTTTTTTTATTATTATTATTTTTTACGCGCGCTACATGAGTATCTCATAAAAAAAATATGTAATGCAAAAAAACGACCGGCGCGCACCTCGATCGCGTAGATCGACGTGTCGCGGGGCTATCGGTGCCCGCGCGTTTTCTCGCACTGGGTCCACGAGGTCCCCATTGAAGAAATGAGGACGCGTTGCACGCGTTGTACGCGAGGCGCACGACCAGCCGGAAGGAACAACCGTACCAAACACCGTACCGTCACGGCGCCACGGCACTAACTGACAGGCTGACGAGAAACTCCAGTTGGTCGACGGCGGACGATAGTCGCAAGAGGAGGGAGGGGAAGTTACTCGCGCGCGGCTCTCCAGACCCTCTCTCATACGATCTCGCCTCCTCGTCCGATCGCGTGCGTTTGCTCCGGTCTCGCTCGCGCTTTCGCCCTCCGTCACCATCTAGTGGTGGATCGGCGTACCCCGGCGAGCGAAAGCGCCCTCGCCGGTTTCACCACCCTTATGGTGGATAGAAGGGAGAAGGAGCGAAACGAGCACGTGAGGCTCTGGTAAAGAGCGAGGGGGCGGCAAACCGAGTGCGCGCATATGCGTGTCTGTGTGTGTGTGTGAGGGGAGGTCAGCCAAGGCCGGAGTACGGGAGAGAGAAAGAGAGAGAGAGAGAGGTTGCAAAATATGTTGTAGAAATAGGGTGGCGGATGAATGCGGTCGCTCGTAGACTAGCGATTTTATTGATCTTTTTTTTCCACCCTTCGGTCGCACGTACACGCGCGCGAGTTCGCTTAATTAAGCGACCGGACTAAGGTGGTGGATATACAACTGTACGTACCTACGGCAAAGAATTTCGACACGAGGTCTCGGATATTATGTGCGAGATAACTCTCTTGGCGGAAAAAGCTTTTTGTGTTTGTTTTCTTTTTTTACTTTTTGTATTTTGAGAGTGATTGATATATTCACGACTGTGTACGAACTGATATTTGACTATTAAAACTGCATTCGGATGCGCGTACATTTATTACACCGGTTTTTAGGCAGCTGCAATAAATTCTTCACGAATCAAGCAAGAGCGATTAAGTTTATTTATTCCATCCATTGTACGATAACGTGGAAAATATTGATGGTTGCATAAACATTAATCACTGCAGCATTAAATCGATATAAATTGATGTAAATGATGAGGAGGAGTGTGAGGGTAATGAAAACAGATATATCACTACTCGTTTTTTGACTGACGGAACATTATCGGTCGATCGTAAATTTTGCGAACGTCATCATCCGTAATAATTTATTAGCACTCCGGACGCGAAAACCCATAAGGCCACACGAAATTGTGAGATATTGTATCTTATCACTTTCCGGTTCCGACTCGTTCAATCCCGAGGGCAAACCGGGTGGGATTCGAATTAGTGTTTATGGCACCCATGGGCGTGCGACAAAATCTCTTTGAGGAACGATTGCAACAACGCGACGTGCATCAGATGTTGATACGTTTTTTTTTTTTTTTTTTTTTCTAATATTGTTTCTACAAATATCATTTATTCAACTAATATTTAATATTTTAATATTGAATCATTCTCTAATAGTTTTTAATAAATCATTTAATAAATCTTCTTTTTGTTTATTATTAATTTAATAAATCATTCCAATAGTTTTTAATAAACAATTAATTGTCGAAAACGAATTAATTTCGCACAGTGTCAAGTTCACTCGCATTTTGAAGAATTCACGCACATCAACGTGTACCCCGCGCACGTACTGTCCGATATTTTTCCGTCCAATCAGAAAATCGGTCACGCCGTAAATCTTTAAATAAACACGATTAATCGTTCTCGATAAGTTTGCTTCCCAAACTCCCACAACCTCGCGGCGTAGCGAGCTTAAAATGGATTTACCCGATCCGAATGCATTAACGACGGAAGGGTGAAGGAGGAGGGGAAGGAAGAGAGAAGTAGTTGCTCCTCTCAAAGAGTTCACCGGCTGGGAGCGAGTGCTAATTAGCGATTCGATCACGAGGCTTCCGGCGCCGGTAGACAACGTCGTCACCTCCACCGGATTCTCTTTGATCCTCTTCTATCTCCGTTTCATTCTCTTATTCGCGTCAACCTTCTATGCCAACCTTTCCGCCGTCGCGTTAGTGAATATCACATATAGAGAGGGCACGTACAGAGACGCCTGCTAGATGTATCAAGGACGACAGACGTTTGCAGTAGCGCATCAAAAAGCATGGTAATTGCTAAAGCTCGCGCTCGTGTTTTTTTGAGAAACTCAATGCTCGTACGTGTCAGAACTAATGTAACCGTGTAATGTTATTCGCGACTACATACAACTAACTCGAATTTTCGTCCGTATCTTCGCATTATTTTCTTTTCTAACTCGCGTTGAGATGTACATGTTGCTAAACAAAAATACATCAATTGCATCACATCAAATCTACGAATATTATTTTTCTTCTTATTGAGAATGAAACACACGTAAATTGTATTACATTTCCTCATTCCACATAGTATTAAGAAAGATTGATTTAAGATCAGACCACAGTTGGGGGATAATAAATAAACTCCGAATATCCTTTAAGGTAAGATTAGGAAAATATGCGGTGCGAAATGTTAATAAATACGAAATACGGGTGGACGGGAAATGAAAAAGCAAAGGATTAAGCGGGCTTGATCGCCCGCGCGTTCGTCTTTATCAGATCTCTCCCCTTTCGTAACCTCGCATCTCTCGAATCTCATCGTCTGTCTACTCTCTCGCCCTTCTCGCGGACCAATCCCCGAGCCCAGTGTACGCAAAATGGGGGGAGGACATGCGCCCGCAGACAAGAGATCTAATATACCCGTCGGTTACATTAGCCGGATTTAATTTAAGCCCCGACCCCCGCTAACGTAAGCGTGCCGTTTATGCTCTCCACCTATACCTATATCCACCTACTGCGAGAGTGAGAACACACACGCTGATCTGCCGGGAAAGCCCCTTCGAGACAGCGGGAGGACTGTCGGAAGGCAAAAGAGAGGAGACGGATGAAAGATAGAGATATGTGTGTGCCGCGGCAAAACGAGAGACGCGCCGCCTGGTTTTATTGTAATTGCGCTGTCGCAAAACGCCGCTTCCCACGACCACAACTGAGTACTCGCTAACGCACGACCATATTTCGGAAGAAGGACAGCTTCATTAACTGCAAAAAGTTCTCCCTCGCCGTTCGCGGATCATTTTTTCATTCGTTTTCGCCGCAATAGTCGGCGCGTGCTCAAAAAAAGGCGCTTTATCGGTTTGTTCCCGTTAAAGAAATCCGGAATCTATTGACGCGCGATCGATTTTGCAGCTCGATATTCATTATCGAGGAACAGTCACAAAAAACACAGGCGCGCGACACGATATAAGATCTCTCGGAACAAGAGATAACGACGGGTGACGCGTCCTCCCCGTGGAAGAACCGTCGAAATATTTCCGCGGGGTTCTTGCTGTTTGCCCGCCGCGCCGCCACGGTCTCTCTTCCTTCTTTTTCGTACGTCGACAAATACGATACCCTGAGACGCGCGCGAGACTAAGCTCATATTTATTTATGAAAGAGGAAGTGGCGCGCGGTTTGTCTGCCTGGCGTGGAAATATATATACACATTCTTGCTGCATGGACGCGCGCGCGCGCTCGCACGCCCGAGCGTAAGAAAGAACGCGGCGCGTAGAAGTGCAATGTTCGCGGAAAGTTCACGCCGGGGCCAGGACACGTTTCGCGGCAGCGTGCCGCGGGAAACTTTCGACGCGCCCGAGCGAAATCGCACGTTTCATTGTTACTTTTGTGCGTTTTTTTTTTTTTTTTGAGCGACGATATGGTAGACGACGCTCAGCCGCCGTCGCGCCGCCGAATGTATGGCGCAAATAAAACTGCCACGTCGGGCGAACTTACCGTAACCGTTTTTAGTACTTTATGACGTTCGTAAATCTTTGCTGCCGCAGGAAGAGGCTCGAATCCTTTCGAGGATACCGGGGGGGAGGGGGGGACTATCTCCCCTGAAAATTGACGAGGTCACTGTGTCGAGGAAACGAAGTTTCTGCCACGCGCATTGAATAATTGCGCCGGACATCGGGGTCGCGCGTAAACTTCCTCTCAGATACGTCACGCGCGCGGGCGCAAGAAAAATCTATCGCTAAACTTTTACCGTTGTCACGTTGCGTTATCGCGTCGCGCCGCGTTTTTTCCGATCGTTTCGCATTCGTCTCGAATTGACCGTGCGATTTCTTCGTTTGGAATCTACATTTTTTCTTCTAGAATAGTAATATTTTTTCAAAAACGGTTTGGAATTGTGCTTTTTTTTAAATATGTTAATTTGGAGGATATATTAAAATACAGATATATAATGTTCGATGATTTGAATTCTATTATGCTTCCGATCTGCAATTCAATTTACAGTTTTGGGACAATGCAATGAAAGTTGAAAGGGAAGTTCAAATAGAATGAAGCCTTCACGTGTTGGGTGGTAATGCTTATAATAGAGCTCTCGGACATTTACGGACAGTAGTAAATTCCTTTTTTCCACAAAAATGAGAGAACGCAAAAATGTATTTTGTGAGAAAACATCTTTCTCTGCCTCGAGTCCCTCTGCAGAGGAACGAAATTAAGTTGAATACTACTCATTTGTAAATTAACGTCTTTCGATCTTTTAGCGGAATCGTTCAGTAGTTTTCGTTATTTACGTCTTTTTTATGGATTCGTTTATCCCTGCTGACCCATTTCGTGGGATGACATAAAACTCGGTCAGTAGGTCGGTCTACTCCCGTTACCTTCGTCCCGAAAGTAGCGGACTACGGTGTACACACTACCGCGCGCCTTTCGTTGTATCTGTGTGCGCAATAACAATCACAAATCCTCACCACCGAAAGAGAAATAGAGATCCTCGCCACCAACTGATTTTGGCAGTCACATATTTAGAAAAAAAAAAAAAAAAAAACTCATATTTTATATGCGACAAGTTCTTTCAAATGAGTAATGAAGTCAAGACGAGGGATGCCGAAAAATTTTATCCCATTGTTGAACGCAAAGTCAATTTTCTGGTTTTACGAGCTTTCCTTTAGCACATTCCGTGTTCATTAATCTTAGCGGTTGTAGATTGCTTTCTCACGTTTCTAACTTCCTTCTTTTTCTCAATATCTGCTCGTTTTAACAGGTAGTGGTTATTCGAAATTTCTGTGTCTCTTTCTCACAAGCAATGTGTACAAATTATGTTTGCAAAGACTTTGAACAAAATTAAACCAAATT